TATATATATATATGTTGATCTATACTCTTCAATTATGTTAATTCACAGTTTGAGTCCAAAATCATTGTAACTGCCCTTTGCTTTGTTTCTTAATGCTGTTATCAATATGTTTTTGTTTCTTTGACAGTGGAAAACCAAAAGGTACTAAACTGAAAAGGCAAAATAATTAACAAGTATGTGCATCTGTGTGAGACACAGACAGGAGTATTTCAACTTTTTATAGCTTTCTGCTATTCTAATGGTTCTGTCTCCAGAAAGTGTTTATTGTGCATTACAAAATGGCAATGTTGTTCTCCCAGAGGTCTCCCCTCATCCACAGGTGACTATCTTTCACTCCAGGAGCAATCAGTGGTTTAACCCCCTCCTCTTCTATTACATAAACATCAAAATAGGGAAATAGAGCTCGGTATAAATAATTTGTGGTGCATTGGATGAGACAACTCTGCAGCACGCTCAAATTCTGCACTTCTTCAACCAGTTATGCTGCTTTTCACAGCTGAGTCATTTTTTCTCATTTTTGTTTCCCCCCACCCCAATCTCTTTCCTCTCTACTTCAGCGGTGATCCCTCTGACTGACTCTGAACACAAGTTACTGCCTTTGCACTTTGCGGTTGATCCTGGGAAGGACTGGGAGTGGGGAAAAGATGACAATGATAACACCAGACTGGCCAAGTAAGACCTTTCTGTAACTTTAGTGCTAAGCAGTAAAATGTCTTGAGCCGTACCTGACTGAGGTGTTGGGAGAACTGCTAATAGAGAGGGCTTTGTTCATGTTCTGTGGTTATACAGCAGAAGACATGGGTGGGTCTCCAGCTGATGGTCACGATTCAGGCTGCTGTTACATCCCTCCCTGTTAAGAAGTGTTGCTTTTTCTTTCAGACTTTTTGACTGTTTGTTCCCTTCTTTTCTCATCCTTAGTTTGATTCTGTCTCTTGAGGCAAAACTTAATCTTCTACACAGCTATATGAATGTAACATGGATACGCATACCATCTGAGACACGGGTAAGGTAAACTTCCCCCTCAGTCTAAACAAGATGAGAGATACAAGGCCCGACAGGGTGTTGGGTAGGGTAGGCTGCCTGGACTGGCCAGCTGCCTGGAAACACCTCAGTAGGGGCAAGTCACTCATGGCTCATGGTCATTGCAATCAGGCTTATAGCTTTTTCTAGTTCATTCTTTTAATAACACAGTTGCTTGTATGCTTTTTGCAATTTATGCTCTGTTCTGAAATGTATTTTCTAGCTTTATCTTTCTTTTACTTATTTCAGTAGTCCATGTAGTTCAGAAAAACCTTAAAATAGACCTTTTCTCACTATTGTTTCCTCAGAACTTTGGCTTGCTTTCCTAATGCCACTGTTAGGTCACCAATCCCGAGTCCTTTCTCTTTCTGAGAATACATTTGCACCCCTGGACAGCTCCCAGTTTAGAGTGGCTGACAAAAGGCCACAGACTGGCACTGAACTGGAGCCTGGTTCTTTCAGAAAGCTATTTTAGAACCATGCCCAGCTGTCACCTAGTCAGCTGCAAATTTCTCTGCAAATTACACTGAATAGATTGAGGCATTAGTCTGGAGGCAAAAGGTTGCTAGGAGAGGATGGAGGTGATTTAGACAGGCTACACAGATGGGATTTGAAAGGAGGAACGGAACACAAAAGGAGAAGCATTTAACAAGCTGCAAGAGGGAAAAAATTCAATTTTTCTACAGTTTCTACAGTGGTAGTAACTACCACATCAGAAAAAGGAGAGGCAAAATTGTTCTGTAGTTGTAAGCTCTGAGCCTGAAACTTGTGGGACCTGGGTTATCTCTCCCTGCTTCACACTTGCCACATGAGCATGGTCAGGTCACTTTAGCACTAATTTCCTCCTTTGCCAAGTGGGGATAACAGCTCTGCTCCTGACTGGGTGGCGGGGTGCTCAGGGATTCCAGAGAGACTGAGGACATGCAGGTACCCAGGGACAAGAAGCAGGTGTGCATTTCTGTACTGGAAGTACATGTATCTATGGAGATTTGGGGGGTTTTGGTTGGTTTTCTTGTGTTGTTTTGGTTTTTTCTTTACAGTTAGTTAAATGTTTCATATCCTTACCAGATTTTAGCTTCATGGTGCCTGAAAGCAAGACTAAGTTTTGCGGGAGTAAATGAACAAGGCCACATTTGAAAGTATCCTAGGATCCTCATGATTGCGTTTCCAAGAAAGATGTTTTATCACCTTACCTAAAATACAAATTGGAACTCAGACTTCTGACACCAGTTTTACCTGCATTGTATTCCCGATAAGAATGAATACACCTCATTGTATTCCTTAGACTGCTCGCTGAAGTTTAATATTTCAGGCAAGATGTTTAGCTCTGGTGCATCTTCCCTTTGATTTTCATGCATCCATAGACCTGAACAATGAAGAAATGAGTTTAAATCAGTTGGGTTTTGAACATAATGAATTTTGAAATATTGCTACTTAAAGGTTTGTTTGCAAACCCCCTCACAGCTTTCAGCAGAACCACATTTTCCTTCCATCACAAAATTACCAGTTTCTTTCCATGCTCTCTGTCTCCCCCCTGGCTGAGAGGCAGCCTGTGTTGTAGATGCTTCCTCCTGACTGGCTGATCTCTGTGTGCTGGCCAGCCGCTCAGCTGGGCCACACAAGCAGGGAGATGGGGCTGCAGCCTCCCCCTCAACAGGAGCACTAACTTGCGTCACTCCATTATTCAGACACTGATTTTCACAGCCTCTTTGAATGACTGACCTCTATTCTACAAATGTGCTTGAAATTAGCCAAAAGCTACTGTAGGAACAAGCAAGACACATAGTCAGCACAACCAAATAAGCTTTGTTTGGTAAAGAAACCAGTCTAAAATGTCAGTGCATAAATCAAAAAGTTCATTTAAAATCAGTGTCAAAATCTGTATTGGATTTGGTGGGTTTTTTTTTTTGCACTAAGTCCTTGTATGAAACTGATTTTGCTGTATCTAATTATAATTACTTTTCCATAGCAGGCCCCTTTGGCTCAACCAGAATCCCCTACAGCTTCAGCCGGGGAAGATGTTCAGTCGCTGGCTGACTCAATGGACTCAGACCGAGATTCTATCTGTAGTAATTCCAACGGCAATAATGGTAAAAACAGTAAAGAAAAAGAAAAGGACAAACAGAGGAAAGATAAAGACAAAACCAGGACGGATTCAGTTGCCAATAAAATAGGAAGCCTCAGCAAAACCCTGGGAATTAAACTGAAGAAGAATATGGGTGGTCTTGGAGGCCTGGTGCATGGCAAAATGAGCAGAGCCAATTCAGGGAATGGAAAAAATGGTGACACAGTAGAGAAAGTCAAAGAGAAGAAGTCTAAGTCTAGAAAAGGGAGCAAAGAGGAATCTGGACAGTCTGCAAGCACTTCTCCATCTGAAAAGACCACTCCATCCCCGACTGACAGAGCTAACAACTCACCCATTGAAAAGATGAACACTAAATCCTTCTCTGACAAGCAGTCTGACCCATGGAAGTACAGCACCGATGTGAAACTCAGCCTAAATATTTTGAGAGCTGCCATGCAGGGTGAACGAAAGTTTATTTTTGCTGGCCTTCTTTTGACCAGCCATAGGCATCAGTTCCACGAGGAGATGATAGGCTATTACCTGACTAGTGCACAGGAGCGTTTCAATGCGGAACAGGAACAGAAACGAAAGGATGCTGAGAAAAAGGCAGCACTGAGTGGGTCATCTAGTAGGAAACTGGAGCAGGAAGCATATTCTAAAGAAAAATTAGAAACATCTCCTCAGGATAGGGCATCACCCGTCTTGCCTCAAAGCCATACAACTCAACTGGTTTTAAAATTTAAAGATCGCACTAGTCCCACTCCTGGGTCGTTTTCTTCACCTAGTAATGGTGCTAAGAGAAGTGGACCCATTCCGGTATCTGCCCACTATAGCCATACGCCACCTGTTCAAAGGCAAAGTGTCATCCATTTGCATGATGTCAACTCCAAGCCGTCGAGCTTCCAAGACGATACCTACAAGCCAGTGGTTGGCACCCTAAAAACCTGTGCCACCTATCCCCAACAAAACAGATCGCTGTCTTCTCAAAGCTATAGCCCAGCGCGGATATCCGGTATCCGTACCGTGAACACAGTGGAATCGCTGAGCTATGCCATGCCTACTGAACACAAGTCTCAGACATACACGAGTGGATTCAACACTGGCGATATTAGAGACTGCTTAGAATATGCTGATGAGGATGCTCCTCAGACCTGGTTGAACAATGATAAAAATCAAGGCAGAAGCACAGTTTGCCCGATGTATTCCATCCAGCAGAACCGCTGTAAGAAGGAGAACTGTTCCTTTTATGGTCGTCCTGAGACTGATAATTACTGTTCATACTGCTACAAAGAAGAGTTAAAGCGCAGGGAGAGAGAAAGCAAGGGACACAGGCATTGAGGATTCTTCCGTGACTAGTTAGTTTTACCATTTTCTTACTTACAAAGTAAATAGTGTTGAATTGCAGTAAAAGGAATCCTTAAAAAAGAATAAAGGATTGATGCGTAAATAGTGTCTAGCTTTTCGCTTTTCCGGGGCAATGAGGAAATAATAGGATTAATTTATCATAAAAAAAAATTATTTTCCATTTTGTCAGTGTCTTTTTTACATATACTGGTAAGCTGAAGGGTTGTTTACTCCTTTGTCAGTGCTGTGTATATGTTTGGTCAAAAATTTACTAATGGTGCCTGAATTTACACTGACATCACTCAGGTAGTAGAATGATAGGGGAAAGACATAATACCGGAGATGTGGTGTTGTAGTAGGGTAGTATCTGCCTTGCAGACATTTGAAATTCTATAGCTATTATGAGAGTATTTTTTCCTCAGTAAAACCTAAATTTTTCATAGCCTTTTTTTTTTAGGAGGGTAGTGATTTTGTGTACTGCACATTTTTAACATGGCAGCATATTGCATTATTACTAATGTTTGTACTCGTTTCAGTCTGAAATTGAATGATTCTGGGAAAATGGGAGTGAAAGGTCTGAATTCATGAGGGCTGTAGCTCTTCCTAATTTTAAGTTCTTACCAGTTATTTCTCCATTTCTGTAAAAAGTAGATTTGAGCCACTTTTATTTGTACTGAATTTTTAAACAGGTTTTATAAAAAATACGTTATGGCTTGCAAGACTTCACGTCACAAAAAACCCCACATAGTGTAGTTTTGGGCACCTGAATTTCAGTAGTATTTTCATTGTTGTTAAAATTGAGAGAAATGTTAAAATAGAAATAAAACATAAAAATGTTATTAGATTTGTAAAATCTGATGACCAGCTAGGAAATTTAGGATCATTTTAAAGCTGAATGAACTGCTTGTCAAAACAAACATATTGCATCAATTGATTCCCTTAGTCATTGGATTAATTTAATCATTATTTATTTATTCCTTTCTCAACATTATCGAGTGATAGTGATTACAAATGTAACTACTTCTGAGCCTTTCTTGACGACTGCTGGGTCCACCTATTTTTGAGTCTCGCAGAATAAGTTATGTACCCATCAGGAGGTTCCAAGACGGCTACAAAATACCTCCAGTATGAATGGCCACTCCTGGCACAGATTTGCACAAGTCTGATATCCAAATATTTAAATAAGTATTTGCAATACTTTTGAAAATAAAACTTTGCTCATAGAAACATTTCTGTAAACCCTACAAATGCTGTTAAAGTGGATGTATGGCATTAGGAGGTTTTCTTGAATACAGTACCTGCCGGTTTTGCACGCCTCTACCATCAACTGGCATAATATAGTAAGAATAGGTCTTTAGTATGGTTACGCCTGTAAGCAATGGCTCATTTACTGTCCTCCCACTTTTCTTTTTTTTAAAAAAAAAAGTGCTCATTTTCCGTAAATAGGTGAAGTACTGCCTGCAGGACTGCTTGCTCTGCCACATAAAGGTGCAGAATGCGAGTTCTGCCTTACTCATTATGGAGCAGCACTTTTCTGGCTGGCACAGGAAAGATTCTTTGCCAAAGAGTCTTTGTTTCTGATTCTTTCCTGCTGTACCCCAGTTTTTACTCTTGACATGACTGGCACCATTTCACTTGCATACAGTTAATCCTAGTTAGCCTCAAAACCAAGGCTGAAGTAGTCTGTGAAACAAGATACACAAACTTACGTTGATGGGTACTGGCTTTCAAAAGCACATAAGCTTTTGCTGATGTCCCAGGGAAATTTGTGGACCTGAGTACATACTTAAAATTGACCATATCTTTAGTTTTTCTGCTGAATGGGAGGTTTAAAGAATAGTTCCAAAGTAAGTCCATTAGCCGCTCCTAAAAAGTCATGGTCTTTGCCATGTTAGCTGTTCCATGAATCCAGACCTGTACTTCGTATTTCTTGCCGTGTACTGAGCATACACTGAATGTTACTGAATTTGCGTTCCTTCATAAAAGGGAAATGTTGGTATGCGTAACGAGAGGTTAAAACTCCGTGTGACTTCTGTCCTTAAGGTAAGCACATGCTAAACCCTGTGTCTCCAGTTGCATACACTGGTAAGCAGTGTCCTTTTTTCATTAACTGTTGTGGTTACTTCTCATTGCCAAAGCAATCTGTGATTGCAGGTTATGCTCAAACAAGCCAGATCATGTTAAAACAAATCATGTATACTCGATTGTATTTGTTGCTGAAACTGAGAAAATTGACGGGATAAAACTTCATGGAAAAAAAAAGAAAAGAAATATTTAAGAATTCTTAGAGCATTAGATTAGCAGTAGCATTTGATACTCCGAGAATTGCTTCTGTGTGAAGTTATGCTCAAGAAATACTACATTAGCAGCAAACTACACCAGCCCATGTATTTAAGGCAGTTGCATCCTTTCTGAATGAGGAAAAAAGTAACAGCACATATGTAAAAATAAGCAACTACCATGAGAACTTGCTGTTTCCCATTTTTCAAAAGAGTTGTTTCTATAGTAGGTTTCTAAGACTTACTACTCATGAGAGAGAGAGGTTTACATCTGGTCAATATTTAGATAAATTGCTTAGTTCTAAATTATTTAATAGATTGTACCTGCAGTAAGATTATTTTGAAAAAATAATTGGTCTTCTGAGGAATAGGCTTGTCTGTATAGGATACCAAACTTAAGTGTTCACTGTCATCCTCAAGTCACTCAGATGTTTCCATAAATGTTTACCACTACTGGACTTCATTTGAAGGTATCTGTTAGGTAAAATACTGACAAAATACTTTCTAGTTGTGCCTGTTTCCTCAGCATTCTTTTCTTGGTATATATCTTTGAATAATTTGCTGGATGTTGCTGTTTTCTTTTGGAATTCTTCAAATATCTCACTATTCTCTTGTGCTTTAACGTCTGATATTGAAAAGAAGTTGCAGGCCTACAATGCAGTTTGCCAGTTAAAATGTACCCATCTTTTCCTAGTAGTTGTCCTTTCTTCTGGATAAGTAATACTGTGATTTTTTTTAAAAAAAATTATTATTTCTGAGCTATTTGTGGCAGTTCTCCAAAGGGATACCAGAGTTGATATTAAGCAGTCCAAACACGCAGAAAAAGGCCTCCTCCTGAAGAAGCGATTGTCCAATTAAAAGAAGAGTCTGGGTATAAGAGGAAATTTTCTACCTATTTCTTTCAGAGAGAATTCCCAACTGCTTATGAATTGCATTCACCAGCACTGAAAGAAATGGTGTCATTCCTTAGCTAGCTGTGAGAGGGAATAATTTTAAAATGTGTTTTTCTGTTGCACTAAATGGCTAACTTCTGACTGCTCTTTTGGTTTATTTTTCCTTACATTGAAAGCACGTGTAGCCCACAGGGCAGCAAGTCATTTTCTGTGCCTGATCCGCCCTCTCTATACCTTGCAGAGCTTGTTAGAGTTACCACTTAGTCCCAGCTGTCCTGAAATCAGGTTTGGTGTTGGAGGACCCTGTTCCTTTCTTCTGTTAGCTCAAGTGGCTGCAATACACGTGTGTGTGTTTGCATTTGTATCTGCTTTTTTCCCCCTCTCTCCTTGATAGTGATTCAACGGTTGTCAGTGTTGTCCAGATTTCAAAAGTACAGACTAAATCTTGGGTAGGCTACACCTTCCCAGAACAGATCCAAAATCACTAGGAGGTACTTAGGTTGGAGGAAGCGGGACTTTTTTTAATGTGTGAATGTGCAATTTTTTTAATTTAAAAAAGGCTTAAACCTATTATGCAGGTTTTTTTACTTTGTTCATAAACTCTGATACAAAGGTCTGCTCATAACGGGACGCCTGTAATACATAATGGGTTTCAGTCACACTTTATATTAAAGTTCCATTTAAAATGCTTTATAAAGTATTGCTAGACTTTACGAGTATTTTTTTCAGATGTGGGTATCAGTCGTAGCGTATGGCTAACAAGCAGCTCATTCAGAAGAAGGTGGTGTAGGTTATCAAAAGTAACTTCAGATATTTTGGATTTTAAAACAATTGATTAGCCTAGTGTTATTATGGTTCATTAAGCTTTATAAATGCAATGGAAACACAGTGTGTGGCCCAGCTTTCTTTAGCAATTGGTTCCTTCTTCCTAAGTCAAAGGTACCATTAAGGGGATCAGTGAGAGAAAGATGCTGTACGTGGAAAGTTTTGTGTTGTTTATTTCTTAAAAAGTCTAAATAGGCCAAGTGAAGTCTTCAGAGTCGCCTTTTCTCAAATTGCAAAAGATGATGGGAGCAGTGTTACTTGGTGCAGAAAGCACTGAGGGGAGACGCTTAGCGTGGCTTTGCGCACCATTGGACTGCAGATCACAGCAGTCTGCTGAGGCAATAGCAGTCCTTGTACATATAGGCATATTCAGGGTAATCTACTTCTCGTGTGATGAATGTGTAGATATCAAAAAATGCACAGCACAGATCTGACAAAATACTGCCCTCTTAACTCTGATTCTGCAAACACACTGGTGCTCAACTTCACCAATATGGAAAGTCTCCCTGACATCAGGGAGATGGCTTATTTTCAGAAACTTAACACAATTGTTAAGAAAAATGTTTGTGAGATCAAGGCCTGAGCCTTTAGCCAGTGTTTGTTCCCCTCAGGCTGCCTGATGTTGCTCTTCCAATGAGAGAATCGATGACAATTTTGCCTGAGGAGCAGAGGGAAGCCTTAGGCCACTTTGGGCTAAACCTGCTGTCCTCTGAAATCTGTGGACAGAATCCCATTAGTAGTGGGGGCCTTAAATGAGGTGCTTCATGGACACACAAAATAATTGCAAGCTGGACGTGAAAATACAAGCTAGTAAGGCAGTAAGGTCTTCATAACACTGGGAGTGTTTTGCACAGGTAGAAACCCCGTATGTTAATAGAAACCACAATAATCTCAAATAAACATAGGTCCAGAGAAGCAAAATAACTGATGCTGATTGTAGATGGCTTTTCAGCTTAGTGTATTTTAAGTCTCTGTCAGTGTATTTGAAGAGTATTTTGTTTTAGGATAATGGCAGCTTATGTGGAGGATCACCAAACAGTATATAGCGTAGAATATAAAGTATTTCAGTAACAGGCACTACTATCTATTTTAATTTACAC